ACTTGCCCTAAGGGCACTGACATTCCCCATCAGGGAAATATCACTGGATGTGATCATCAGAACAGGCTGCCTACTCCTCATGCACAAAACTCTCTGTCTGGAATTCACAGAAGCCTGCAGACAAAGGAAAATTATGTCTTAGTGGAAAAGTATTCATTGAATCTTTGCTTTCATGGATTTTTTACTTCCTTAGACAACCAGCTTCCTAACAGATTTAATCCTAAATTGACTCCTACAAACAAAAAGCACAGAGTCACACAGTAATATAAAGGAAGTCTTTCATTAACTGAGGTTCCTTAGGTAAGACTCCTTTTACTTACTACCTTTAGTTTTTCCTGTCTAAAATGAGGACTTGAGTCGGGTTGGTCAAGATGATGTGAGGGAGGGTCTGTCTAGCCAGGAGAATACTAGAATTTGGCAGGTTTTTAAAACCAGTTTGGATTTATGCTATTTAGTACCTTTCCACAAAGAGATCGGTTTATAATGGAAACAAATTAAATGTGAAACTTTAAGGTAGTACATTTCCCAAGTGTTGGGGGATTTAGGGTCTTCTTGGTCTAGAGCTGTGGCATACGTGGCACATGAGAAACAGCACATAGTAAAGGCTATTCTAAACAGGCCTTTCACAGGATCTGTGACACCAGGTACTAAGCCTTTTCTTTTTTCTTATATTAATTTTTTAGTGTGCTTGGAGAATTTCTTTAAAATATGAATTCCTGGACCCCAGACTCTTGAAGAGCAGGTCCTGAGATTCTGTAGTTTATAAAAGGCCCCCAGGTCATCTCTTAATTTTAGAATGGCTGTTACAGGATGGAAGAAAAGTGAAGAAGAGCTTGAGGTCAGTTTTTGGGGTTTTTTTTTGCAGTACGTGGGCCTCTCACTGTTGTGGCCTCTCCCGTTGCGGAGCACAGGCTCCGGACGCACAGGCTCAGCGGCCATGGCTCACGGGCCCAGCCGCTCTGCGGCATGTGGGAGCTTCCCGGATGGGGGCACAAACCCGCATCCCCTCCATCAGCAGGTGGACTCTCATCCACTGTGCCACCAGAGAAGCCCTTGAGATCAGTTTTTAAGGACTTCCCAGTCACTTGTTCCACCAACATTTTAAACATTTATTTTTGGCTGCGTTGGGTCTTTGTTGCTGTGCACGGGCTTTCTCGTTGTGGTGAGCGGGGGCTACTCTTCGCTGAGGTGCACGGGCTTCTCATTGCGGTGGCTTCTCTTGTTGCGGAGCACGGGCTCTAGCGCACAGGCGTTAGTAGTTGTGGCACGCAGGCTCTAGAGAACAGGCTCAGTAGTTGTGGCACACAGGCTTAGTTGCTCTGCGGCATGTGGTATCTTCCCGGACCAGGGCTCGAACCCATGTCCCCTGCATTGGCAGGCGGATTCTTAAACATTGCGCCACCAGGGAAGTCCCTCCATTAGCATTTTACATTTGACTCATTCTTGAATATTTAACCAATAATTAAATGTATATGAATACAATTTTTGTGCAACAGAGAGACAGCCTTCATATATTTAAAACATATAGGGGGAAAAATAGCTGGTTTCTTTGTAGTGCCAGTTTAAATATAATTTTAAATGCTGCATATATAGTATCAATCCCACCTTAAACTAGTAGCTTATATGTTGACTGTGCTACCCAGGAAAGAAATTTAATCTTGGTATTTCTTGCCTCAAAAACACATTTTTCATTCATTTTTAATCCTCTAAGCTTCCACTGAAACACAGCAAAGTAAATGGCAAGATAAAACTTTTGGGTCCTCAATTTGAATATTAGATTTGCTGGCCTTAATTAAATTGTGGCCAGGTATATGAGAGTATGAGCTAGGGCTAATATATGAAATTGTTTAAAAAGAAGCAAGAGACTCAACTTTCAGTATAAAATGATGCCTTCTGCTTCCCCCCCCCCCTTTTTTTCCTTTTTTGGCTGCACCACTTGGCATGCGGGATCTTAGTTCCCCAACTAGGGATCGAACCCTGTGCCCCCTGCAGTGGAAGTGAGGAGTCCTAGCCACTGGGTCGCCAGGAAATTCCCGGCGTTGTGCTTTTAGATTGCTGGTTTATGTTCAGTTGTTACAGTGCAGACATGCTTATAGATTGTGGCGACCTCTATACCATGTTAGAAGTTTTCCACTCCTGTAGGATCATGACATAAATTGCTTCAGACCTTAAAGGAACATTTTCAGGTAATTCTTCCATTTAGGGTCATATGCTCATCATTGAACTTGCATTCTTTTCATGTTCAGGGTCATGTGGGATAAAATTAATTATGACAAACAGAACTAATACAGGAAAAGTTTTTTTTGTTTTTTTTTTTTTTGCGGTACGCGGGCCTCTCACTGCTGTGGCCTCTCCTGTTGCAGAGCACAGGCTCCGGACACGCAGGCTCAGTGGCCATGGCTTATGGGCCTAGCCGCTCCACGGCACATGGGATCTTCCTGGACCGGGGCACGAACCCGTGTCCCCTACATCGGCAGGTGGACTCTCAACCACTGCGCCACCAAGGGAAGCCCGGAAAAAGTTTTTTTTTTTTTTAAGTTTATTTTATTTTATTTTTTGGCCATGCTGTTCAGCTTGTAGGATCTTAGTTCCCCAACCAGGGATCGAACCCGCGCCCTTGGCAGTGAATGTGTGTAGTCCTAACAACTGGACTCCCAGGGAATTCCCTAAATTGATTTTAAAGTTTTATCTTCATGGGGTATTTTAGGTGTTGAAGGTCACTAAAGTTTAGGGTATGGTTACTTTATTGTAGTATGAGTAGAATTATATTAAAATGAAAGGTTCTAATTTCTTCAGTCTGAATATTGCTGTTTGTTGCATAAGCATTTCCAGCAGGAATTTCACCTCAACTTAATGTGTCCCTGCAGTCAAATGCAGGGATGATCTTTGCCTCTTGAGATTATATATTGGCAATCTCTTTCTGTGCCACCTTGTGACCACATTTCCTACTTAGGTTATAGGGTTGTTTCATGAACTAGAGCTCAGAAAGCACACCATACTCTCCCTGAATTTAAAAGCTCTGAGATACAGAAAAATTAGAACTAAACTAAAGGCTTAACAAATGAAATAAATCTACTTCTTGGACAGAATGGCTGTTTTGCCAGTTTATGTATAACCAGTGACAGTTACAGTTCAGTATAGTAGGGTAAGTCTTGAAAATTAAGATTTAACTTAGAAATACCATATGCAGTTGTAGGGGGGGACTATGCTTATTGTTTTGACTTTTAGCTGTCCTTGCATAAGACTTCTAAAACCACTGTAGTACCTTTCAGAAAGCCAGGGAAAGCTGTTGTATACTTATTTTTTACTCTCCAGTTGCTTTGGTACTGATGCGAACTCATCCAGTAATATTTGAACACCTACAGTACACTGGGCATTGTTCTCAAGGTGCAGGTGAAATATTGGCTTTATCTGTTCCTGGGTCTGTGTTGTGGCATTTACTTCAAATACGTCAAGGAAAGGGGCTAAGACATGGTCTGTTTAAGTGCTGTTAAAGGGACTGTTTGGCCCAGAAAAGAAAACTCAGTTGACTTAAAGATCTTCTAGAGGTTTTGCAAGAGGTTTATTCATTTATCTGATAATTCAAACTTCAAAAGGTACCAAAGGGTACAAGGTGAAAAGTCTCCTGCCACTCATGCCCTGCTCCCTAGTGGTACAAGTCTGTTACACCTTCCCAGAGGTATGTTCTCATACCAGTGGAGCTCCACATACATGATGCTTCACACTTGTGTTTTCCCCACTTAATGTACAGTATGTCTTAAAGTTTTTACTTTAGTATGAATACAGTTGTCTCTGTTTTCTACTGCTGATAAAAAAAAAACTAACCACATACAGCAAGCATATCTGTAGAATAAATTCTTTGTAGTGGAATTTATGGGATAAAAAGATTGTGCTTTGCATTTTTTTTTTTTTTTTGGCCGCGACATGCGGCTTGCGGGGATCCCAGGTCCCCGACCAGGAATCGAACCCACGCCCTCAGCAGTGAAAGCAAAGCGTGGAGTCCCAACCACTGGACCACCAGGGAACTCCTGTGCTTTGCAATTTTGATATGTATTGCCAGTTTGCCCTCCAGAGATTTTGTAAGTTTTTTTCTTCGTACTCAGCAGTGTATATAGGGTCGTCACAAAGTCTGGACGTGTAGTTGAATTAAGAGTACTAAATGGGTTACTAACATTACATGGTATGTTTAGTGACATATTCAGTTTATCCTTGTTAGTGCACTAACACCGAGTTTTCATTAATACCTGCTCATGCACTTGCCTCTAAATGATTTGTGCCTCTGGTTTTGTTTTGGTTTGTCTTTTTTTTGCTTATTAAAACTAAACTTGCCACATCTTACCGTCACCCTGTATAAGAAGCCGTTTCTATACATCCTTTCAAACTTGGTGCATTTTTCTCAACTCCTTTGTCAATTTGATAGTTTAAAAGTGGTCTCTCTGTGTAGTTTTATCTTGCGTTTCTTTTATGAGTGATATTAATTGAACATCTTTTTATAGAGGCATGTTTCCTGTTCATGGTAATTTGGCTTTCTTAGTGGAATAAATCATGGCTTGTACAATTCAGTCCCCTTCACCATGCTGTGTGTGTGTGTAGGTGTGCAAATAATGTGTACTTAGAGCTGTTTGCCTGAGTATCATTATTCTCTTCTTGTGTACTTCAAATCTTGTATCTATCCAGGAAGAGTTTTTATGACCCTGAGAATAAGTTGATTATATTGCTTATTGTAGCAGATTTTTTTTTTTTTCCCTCCCTGCCATGCCATGTGACCTGCGGGATCTTAGTTCCCCAGGATCAAACCCGTGCCCCCTGCAGTGGGAGCTCGGAGTCCTAACCACTGGACTGCCAGGGAATTCCCTATAGCAGATTTTTATATATTTATGCTGTATACAGGCTATTTATTTCCTTTAAAAATTGTGTTTGATTTGGAGACAGATTTTTCTTTATGTAACATGATTGCAAAAGTTGCTTATTTTAGCTGACTTTTTTTCCTCCCGAATTAGTTGGTGACAAAGTTCCTGCTGATATAAGATTAACTTCCATCAGATCTACTACTCTAAGAGTTGACCAGTCAATTCTCACAGGTAAATATTATGTATTGGAACGTTGTTGAATTTCTGAAGGCTCCCTCAGATTCCATGCTAATAATTGAGTTGACTTCTTGCCTCACTGTCTCTTTCTTTTTTTTTTTTTTTTTTTTTTGCGGTTTGCGGGCCTCTCACTGCTGTGGCCTCTCCCATTGCGGAGCACAGGCTCGGGACGCGCAGGCTCAGCGGCCATGGCTCACGGGCCTAGCTGCTCCGCAGCATGTGGGATCTTCCCAGACTGGGGCACAAACCCATGTCCCCTGCATTGGCAGGCAGACTCTCAACCACTGTGCCACCAGGGAAGCCCCCCACTGTCTCTTAATCCTCTCCAGGATATTTATTTCTTAATGCTTTATCAGTTAGGCTTTTTGCCAATACATGAGGTAAAGCTATGATTTAAAAACAATTGGCTTTCATCTCATAAGGCCTATTTATCTTTAAATTTTATTAAAAATTAGTTTTGATTTAAACTTTTAAAAATTTTTTAAAGGGTTACAAATTCCTTCAGTAGCAGAGGTAATATTCTTAAGGTTGAAGTAGTGTTGTTGTCTCTCTGTTTTGTGGAAAGTGCATTAATTACTTAGTGTTCTTTTTCCAAGCAGGAAAAATACAGACTCCAGGAATGCTAATCTCACATCTGACATACTTTGCAATAATCAGATGTACAATTAACAAAAGTTAGCACCCTCCAAAATGGTGAATGTTCACTACCTAAAGTTTGCACACTTAGATTTGGGATTGTTTGGAACATTTTCCCGTTTTTGTTTGATACAGGCACAGTCTAGGGTGGAGGGTTCATATTAACTGGATGGAAGTAAGGTGGTCAGAAGATTAAACACAATGCTAACCTGAATTAAATAGAGAGTAAATATAAAATTCAAAGATTTATCTGATTATTAGTTTTGAAAAGCAACTCATGTCATAGAAGTAGGGATGTGAGTAACCTGGGCTCTGTTTTTTATTGTTTCTTTATGAATAGCTTATCTACTAAAACTCCCATTAGCAGCAACAACCTGGAAGCTCATTAAGCCATAAAATGGTAGGGAATTGATTGGGTTGAATGTATGAAATTCTCATATTGTGCCTACAAAAATAATTTCCATTTTAAAACTTTCCGTAGAGTTTCTTGAATGTTGTTTTTTTGTTTAAAAGTCATACTCTAGTTTTAGGCTAGATTGAAGAACCAGATTCTTTTGTTAAATTTTGAGAGTGAAATTTCCTACCTGGAATTTGACCTAACAACTAGGGCCATATTTCACCCTCATTATATACAGTTAATCCTTGAATAACATGGGTTTGAATTGTGTGGGTTCACTTATCTGCGGATTTTTTTCAATAGTAAATACTACAGTACTTACTATACTAGTTGGTTGAATCCTCAGATGCAGAACCGCAAATATAGAGGAATTGCGTATACGGAGGGCCAACCATAAGTTCTGTGCAGATTTATGACTGTGCAGAGGGATGGTGCCCCTAACCCCTGCGGTTTTCAAGAATCAACTGCATTTCATAAGTGATGTTAAGTTGAAACCAGATTCAGACATTGTGAAAGTTCTAAGAAGTAGTCTGTTACTTCTTAGAGACTTCTACTTACTTCTTAGTAGACTTACTTCTTAGTCTCTTGCTGTTTTTCATTTTGGTTTATTGAAATAGAATGGTCTGATTACTGCGTGCAGATATTTCTAGAACAATGTTTTCATTTCTCATCTTTGGCATTATTAAACAAAAACAGGCTTTCCAGTGGATGATCCTCAGTATTCATATACTGTACCTACAGTTTGTTTATTTTGTTAAAAGTAAATATACTTTCACCTTAAGTATCAGAGTGTATGTGTATATAAATATACAACAAATCTACATTCATAATATTAGAGTATAAAATGATACCTGAAAATGAACTAAATTTGTATAGTTATTCAAGAAAATAAAGGTAATTGACTGGGATTTTACTTCAAAATTAAATTCCTTTATTTTGATTTTTTTTCTTTGAAATTAGTTTCTATTACTGAATTTTACTAGTTTATGTTCTTTTGAATGAATTGGCCCTTTTTTTCTTTTTCCTGAGAGTGGTAGTGGCATGAGCGGATGAGGGTACCAAGGTTCTAGGTGCACACTGCACAGATCTAAACAAACCTTCTGTATCACAACCTGCTTAGGTGAATCTGTCTCTGTCATCAAGCACACTGATCCTGTCCCTGACCCACGGGCCGTCAATCAAGATAAGAAGAACATGCTCTTTTCTGTGAGTACTTTGTTTGGAAAAGACTTAGCCTATAAAGGGATGTTTTCAAAATGATGTGGATGATAACTGTGTGTAGTTCACAACCTGTGTTTAGAGAGAAAGCAAATGTGGCAAACCATTAATAATTGGTGAGTCTGGGTGAAAATGGAATGGATGTTCATTGTACTACTTCAATTTTTCTGTTAAATTTTTTTGAAATAGAAAGTTGGGAAATTTATAGTTTTCGTTTGTTTAGAACTTAAAGTGGTATTTCAAGTAGTGGGCTTTTGTGGGTTAGCATGGGAATCTAACCACCCCATAGTAAGTAAAAAAAAGTAGAGCTACAATGAAAATAATGAAGCCCTGTTCTTCCAACATTTAGGAATTAAAATGGGGTGGGGGGAACCTTACACTTGATTGTATTGCTCTTTGAATACTAGTGCTTAAGTGGAGGTCCTCAAGGACAGCCCATGGTCCTGGTTGCCCTTCTTATTATGGGTGATAAAAGTAGGAGGGGTTGAGTTGTTGGAGCCAGAGGTGGAGAATGCTTAGGGTTGAGAGCTGTATGAAGTATGAAAAGTCAGGAACACAGAGGGGTTAAGCGCTGTCCCAGGCCAAAGCTAGTCTGCAAGCCAGGCTCAGTATTGTGAATAGAGATTCAAGGTGGCCGGTATAGAGGGCTCTGGGGCAAGTAGGTACCATTCTCATTTCATGGAGAATCAAATCAGAGAGAGATGGCCCACACTGCCTGCATGAGGTATTGCTCATCATCAAAGTTAGATGGCTGGTTGCCACTGGAAGGCCCAGTAGAATGTGGTGAGAGAATCTTGGTGCCCTCTTGAAAATCCACACAAGTCTGAGTTTACTAGTCAGTATTTAAATTGGGTGTGGTGTTAGTCTTGTAACCATTTCTCTACTTCTGTCCTAGGGTACAAACATTGCTGCCGGCAAAGCCATGGGAGTGGTGGTGGCAACTGGAGTGAACACTGAAATTGGCAAGATCCGGGATGAAATGGTGGCCACGGAACAGGAGAGAACACCCCTCCAGCAGAAACTAGATGAGTTTGGGGAACAGCTGTCCAAAGTCATCTCCCTTATATGCATTGCAGTCTGGATCATAAACATTGGACACTTCAATGACCCAGTTCATGGAGGCTCCTGGATCAGAGGTGCTATTTACTACTTTAAAATTGCTGTGGCCCTGGCTGTAGCAGCCATTCCTGAAGGTCTGCCTGCTGTCATCACCACCTGTCTGGCTCTTGGAACTCGCAGAATGGCAAAGAAAAATGCCATTGTTCGAAGTCTCCCTTCCGTGGAAACCCTTGGTTGTACTTCTGTTATCTGCTCAGACAAGACTGGTACACTGACAACGAACCAGATGTCAGTCTGCAGGGTAAGTGGGAGTAGTTTCAGAATCTTTGCAGGTTATGGTTGTTGATTCATCCTAAGAATATGCCTTTGTGCCATCAAAACCTTTGATTTATTATTTTTTTAATTACTGTGTTTTTTTATCAATGTATAGTTGTTTCACGATATTGTTAGTTTCTACTGTACAGCGAAGTGAAGTAGAGCTCCCTGTGTGATTTTTTTATTTTATTTTTATTGAAGTACTGTTGGTTTACGGTGTTGTGTTAGTTTTGGGTATACAGCAAAGTGATTCAGTTATTTTTATACATATATATATATATATATATATATATATATATAAAATTTTTATATTCTTTCCCCTTAGAGGTTATTAGAAAATATTGAGTATAGTTCCCTGTGCTATACAGTAAGTCCTTGTTGGTTATCTGTTTTATATATAGTAGCAGGTATATGTTAATCCCAAACTCCTAATTTATCCCTCCTTCCCCTCCCCCTCCCCCTCCGGTAACCAGAAGTTTGTTTTCTATGTCTGTGGGTCTATTTCTGTTTTGTAAATAAGTTCATTTGTGTCTTTTTTTTTTAAGATTCCACGTACAAGCGATATTATATTTGTCTTTCTCTGACTTACTTCACTTAGTATGATAATCTCTAGGTCCATCCATGTTGCTGCAAGTGGCATTATTTTTTCCTTTTTTTAAAAATTTTTATTGGAGTATAGTCGATTTACAATGTGTTAGTTTCAGGTGTATAGCAAAGTGAATCAGTTACGCATATACATATACCTGCTTTTTTTTTTAGATTCTTTTCCCATATAGGCCATTACAGAGTACTGAGTAGAGTTCCCTGTGTTATACAGCAGGTTCTTATTAGTGATCTATTTTATATATAGAAGTGTGTGTATGTCATTCCCAGTCTTCCATGTTATCCCCCCCACTGCTTATCCCCTGGTAACCATAAGTTTGTTTTCTACATCCATAACTCTACTTCTGTTTTGTAAATAAGTTCATTTATACCCTTTTTTTTAGATTCCACATATAACAAGTGGCATTATTTTTATTCTTTTTTATGGCTGAGTAATATTCCATTGTATATCTATATACCACATCTCCTTATCCATTCATCTTTCGATGGACAGATACTTAGGTTTCTTCCCATGTCTTCCTCCCTCCCTCCCTGCCTCCCTGCCCCTCTTCCTTTCTTTGCTGTGCTGGGCCTCAGCTGCAGCATGCAAGATCTTTTTTTAGTTGCAGCATGCAGACTTCTTTGTATGTGGGCTCTTAGTTGCGGCATGCGAACTCTTAGTTGTGGCATGCGTGCTGGATCCAGCTCCCCAACCAGGGATTGAACCTGGGCCCCCTGCATTGGGAGCGTGGAGTCCTACCCACTGGACCCACCTACCCCCTGGACCACCAGGGAAGTCCCTCTATGTCTTTTTTTTTTTTTTTTTTGGCTGCATTGGGTCTTCGTTGCTGCGCACGGGCTTTCTCTAGTTGCGGTGAGCAGGGACTACTCTTTGTTGCGGTGAGCAGGGACTACTCTTTGTTGCGGTGCGCAGGCTTCTTATTGTGGTGGTTTCTCTTGTTGCAGAGCACGGGTTCTAGGTGCACAGGCTTCAGTAGTTGCAGCATGCAGGCTCAGTAGTTGTGGCCCGCAGGCTCTAGAGCGCAGGCTCAGTAACTGTGGCACACGGACTTAGTTGCTCCACGGCATGTGGGATCTTCCCAGACCAGGGCTCGAACCCGTGTCCCCTGCATTGGCAGGCAGATTCTTAACCACTGCGCCACCAGGGAAGTCCCCCTCTGTGTCTTGACTATTGTAAATAGTGCTGCTATGAACACTGGGGTGCATATATCTTTTCATCATTTCTGGATATATGCCCAGGAGTGGGATTGCTGGATCTTAAAACCTTTGATTTATAATTTGATACCTTTTTATGTGCTTTAAGCAAATTGGGTTGTATGTGTAGCTTGAGCCCAAGGGTAATTTCTTATACTCCAGAGGAATTAATCATTTAATTCCCAAAATTATGTCATGAAATAAAGGTTACCTACATGGCTGATATATTTGTACTGGGGAAATAACTGTAAGCAGTCTGTAAATGTGTTAGGTGACTGTGCTTACTTTATTTCCCTGTTCTTCTCTCTCTAAGTGTATGTACGTTAACACGAGCTTCAAAGGAAGAGTTCTATAAACCAGCTAGTTACCTGCCTACATAAAATTCTAATTGGTACTTCCTTAACACATTGAATGAGACATGTTTTCTTCTTGAAAAGTAAATAATTGCCTTTAACTTGCTTCATTCTCTGTGTTCATCCTTCCTTTCTTAGGTTGTTTTGACCATCACTTGGGGATAAAATTAAAAACTTTAAACCTTCCCTTAGCAAAATAAGAACTAAAGAAATAATGTAATGGTACAGCTGAATGAAGTTCTTTCATGTAATTCAATTTCCCTAGGTTTTGTTTAAACAACTTTGAGGTGGGGGTATGAGAGAAACAGATGAGGGAAATTGAGGTACAAACTTCCAGTTACAGAATAAGTGTGTCATGGGTATGAAATGTGGAGTGCAGGGAACACAGTCAATAATAATGTAATATCTTTGTATGGTGACAGATGAGAACTAGACTTATCATGATGATCATTTTGAAATGTATAGAAGTATCGCATCACTATCCCATGCACCAGGAAGTTTTAGGTCAGTTACACTTCAAAAACAAACATAGGAAAAGAGATCAAATTTGTGATTATCAGAGGCGGAGGTGTGGGTGGGAGGGGCAGGAATTGGATGAAGGTGATCAAAAGGTACAAAGTTATAGGATAAATAAGTCTTAGGGAATGTAATGGTACAACATGATAAATATAATTAGCACTGCTGTATGTTATATATGAAAGTTGTCAAGAGAGTAAATCTTAAGAGTTCTCATCACAAGGAGAAAACTTTTTTATTTTGTATATATTAGATGATGTTCATTAAACTTATTGTGATAATCATTTCATGATGATCATAAGTCAGATCATTGTGCTGTATACCTTAAGCTTATACAGTGCTGTATGTCACTTATATCTCAGTAAAACTGGAAGGATAAATTAAATATAAAATTGACACACGCACACAAAAAAACTGCTACTACTATGTACAAGTCAAAGTAATTTTCCAAAAGGTACACAGCTCATACAAATATTGAGTGGACACATGTCAAAGATTCTGTTTGGCTCATTAATTCAATGAGGGAGAATCAGTAAGATAGTAAAACTGGTTACAGGATCATGTGAGGAAGTGTGCTCAATATTAGAATAGAATTGATGTGTGTTAGATTACAAAAACTGGTTAATATCCTATAGGGCAGTAAAACTAAGGTTATCTTTTATACAGGAGAAAAAGCCACAACTTCATAAAACATGAGCCCTTAATAATAGCACAGTGAAAGAATGTTAAATTTTTCCAAAACACTAAATCTTTGAGTGTGCTTGTTAAGTAATGCTTCTGAATGACATTGAAAGGACATGCCATCCTCCCCTTGGCCTTATCTCCAGGTTTTAGTTAATGTTTTTTTAGCACTGGAAATTGTTCTTGTTTTAATACAGTTGAACCCTCTGAATCTTTTTCTTGCCAAATTTATAGTCATGGTATTTTTTTGATACACCCACCCTCAACTTTTTGTGTTGTCCAAAACCCAGATTTAGAGTGAATGGGCAGGTGTTTAAAACACACTGGGGTGTTCTCTCAAGTGGTAACCTTCTAGCTTGTCTTGAGTTTCTTGAGTAGATGCAGGGTGTAACTGAGCTACCTAAGTTCTCTTTCCTTGGAACCAAAAAGGGTTGGACGAATCTGCTAAAAGCTAGTTGTCCGCTGAAAGCTGATTGATTGGGGGAGAGAAAGGGAATTTCATTTTATCTGTTTGGTTTCCCCCAGGAAATTGTTTAAACTTAGACCGTAAGCTTTAATTCCTCAGAATAGTCCTTATATCCATGAAGGTAAAGCAGTGTGTGAAATTGTAATCTTTAAAAAATGGTAAGATTGTGGCAGCTTCAGACTTCAAACTAAGACTAAAACACAATCCATGATAAAAATGTTTTTGTTCTTACATTTTCCCTTAAATGATTTGATTTAAAATGTTCTATTAAAGAAATAGCTTGGCTCTTTGTTCTGTTCTACATTTGGCGACAGAACGCTGATGCTAATCAGTATTCTACAGGAGGTTTCTTGCAGTGGATTGCATAACTGCCCTTGACTTCGGGATACTTTCATCATGCAGTTTCTAAATGGTTTACTGGCTTGCAGTCTAAAATGCCCGTGTGCATTCAGATTTAGTTGGTGTGTGTTAGAATTCTGAATGTCTTAGAATATTTTGAACTCTGGTATAGACCCAAAGAGTTTCACTTTTATAAACAGTGTCATTAAAGAAATGGCATGGTGTATAGTAATAATGCCAACTTGCTTTGGTAAGGCTTAGTGCAGTTAATTTTTCACGTGACTTTATTTGAATCGTATGGTAATCCTGCTCAAGAGGTTAGAAAACTTAGGCTCTGAGAAGTTGTGACATGTCCGAGGGTCGCACAACTTTTAATAGAAAGGTAAAGTTGAATTTTCTAATGGGATACATTGGTAAACCTGGGTCTCTCTCTTCCACTTAATAATTGTGTAACTGTGAGCACATCATTTAACCTCTCTAGTCCTTTGTTTCCTCTTCTGTAAATGTCGGACATCTTTGGAAAGAGCTTTGTGCCAAGCTTCCTTTTTTAGATGTTGTATCTGTTAGAAAGAAGTTGTAGGGATTGGTGATCTTGCTGCATGTGACCTTGGACATGAATCTTTTCCTCATTTGACACACCAGTTATATGTGTTTGAACTAACGCCTTTTATCAGGAGTCATCACAGTTTTACTTGTATATTTTAATTTTTAAAAAAATCGTTTTGTCTTACTCATAGCTTTAGTTCAGTTCCAAGGTTGATTTAGTTCTGAGTGTACTTTTGAAATGAAGCTTTTGGAATTTAAAAGTATGTGCTATAATTGACGTATATACACTATCAAATGTAAAATGGATGGGTAGTGGGAAGCTGCTGCATAGCACAAGGAGATCAACTCCTTGCTTTGTGACGACCTAGAGGGATGGGATAAGGGAGGGTGGGAGGGAGGCTCAAGAGGGAGGGGATATGGGGATATATGTATGCATATAGCCAATTCACTTTGTTGTACAGAAACTAACACAACATTGTAAAGCATTTATACTCCAATAAAGATGTGGGAAAAAAAAGTATGTGCTATAATAAGCAAATCTTATGAGGCAAAAGAAGTTATTTTAAAATAAAAATGAGCAGATTTTCTTACTGAATATGAGTCAGAATGCTCTGAAAAGATGTTTTTAAAGCATTACATGGCCCTTTTCTACTTTAGTTTAACATTTTAAAAATTCCTTATTGTAGAATGGTTTGATCATTCCAAACTGGACTTCTGAATTATAATTGGAAAACAAACCAAGAAAAAAAAGCCATCTTTAAGAAACTAGCTTATGTCACTTTATTATTCTGTAAAATTAAGAATTCTTTCCTAAGCCTGCTTCCATCTGTATTGTCTTGGTAGCGTCAGTTCATTCAGCTCTGCGGGCTCCTTACTGTGTACATGTAGTTGTGCAGCTTCATAGAAAATGAGCTATTGCCACAATAAAAATAAGTAGGAAGAAGTAGAGAAGCAGTTTGTCTTATTTTACTTGGGGAGTTTTTATGCCACTCTGAAACGTGAGTTTATTCTTCCTAGGCTTTTACTGTTAGCTCTAAGGCAGGAATACCTGTGTCACTTCCTCAGTCAGCCATTTGAAATTTGGAATTCTGAGCATTCTAAAGAATACTGCTGAGTCTTGGAATTGACTGACCCAGAGTCCTCATAACTCAGATTTCACGTGGGTTCTCTTCTGTGTCTGGTGCTGTTGCTGCTTATTATTTATTCAGCTCCTCAGTGATGCTGTTTCTCAGACTGTTAGGTGGATGGGGGAGGCAGTCTTAATAGTGTCCAGCTGGAATAAGGGACAATATTCCTCATGCTGAGCTTCAATTAATCACTTTCATTAACATTTATACTTAAGTGAGAAAGGCCTTTTGTCTTAGCAAATGTTATATGTTTTTTCTAGCATATTTTTTATACCTTTTCAACACTTAGGCTTTTTTTTTCTGTAGATGTTCATTCTGGACAAAGTTGACAGTGATACTTGTTCCCTTAATGAGTTTACCATAACTGGATCAACATATGCACCTATCGGAGAAATGTGAGTAATCCCTCCTTGCCTTTTAAAGGCTCCACTCTGGTAGTTTGGTGCTTGTATAGACTTGCAGTGTCTCTAAAATGTTCAGACAGTTTTCCTAATGTGGCTCATGTTTATCAGAGTAGTTCATTTTCTTTAAAAACAAAATTGATAATACATACTTTGGAAATTGAAATTGACATTACAGGTTGTATAAGCCAGTGGGACCCTTTTTCATCTTTTGAAGCCTAAATTTTCAAGTGGGGGTTCTGGTTTGGTTTGGTTTGGTTTTGGTTTTGGTTTTGGTTTGGTTTTTTTGGTCACCCTGCACGGCTTGCGGGATCTTAGTTCCCTGACCAGGAATTGGACCCAGGGCCCTGGCAGTGAGAGCACCGAGTCCTAACCACTGGACCACCAGGGAATTCCTGTTTGTTTTTCATTGATACCAGTGGTGGAGGAATTTCACTAACTAAGAATTCCTGGTCTTTACTGATTGACTGCTGATACCAGAGACATATTCTGTCTCCAGCATCAGATTTCTTTTGAATGCTTGCCAGTCCGTTGTCCACAAAATTCTATTTATTAGTAAATAATTAAATAAAAATCAATAGAGATGACCACAGTGTGTTCTAAGAGTTACTTTTTCTTTTGACAGACATAAAGATGATAAACCAGTGAATTGTCATCAGTATGATGGTCTTGTGGAATTGGCAACAATTTGTGCTCTCTGTAATGACTCTGCTTTGGATTACAATGAGGTAAGCCTCCTCACAAATGAGAAACTAGACCTGGCTGTTCCTAGTTCAAGGGTGCGGTGGGTGGAATGAAAATCCAGCCTTCCTTCCTCCCTTTTTGAAAGTATGGGTTCCTGGTTTTATTTTCCCTTTCCATTAAGAGCCTATCTCTATCAGAGCCAGCATGACCTGCCCAAAGGAAGCTGGAAGCCTTTCATATATTCTCTGTGACTGAGCATTGCAGTTACTTAACTAGGAGTTAAGTAGTTACTTAACTAGCATACATGATGTTCTCTTCTGTGTATAGCTTAGTTACTATAAATGATTAAAAGCAGGATACTTTTTCCTGAAAGTATAGGGTATTGATCTTGCTTTTTAAGATGGGTAACATTACGTCCTGGAGGACAGGCTGAGGCTTAGAAGGTGGTTTTGATGATGATGATGATGATATAATATAAAATTTAACCAACAGAAAACCTTTTTTTCCTCCTTTTTTAATTTTAAACAGTGAGATAAATTCTTTGGTTTCTAAAGGCAAGCCAGTCCCCAACGGAAACAGAATGTAAACTCTGTAGAATGATAAATAATGACAAGGAATTACAAATACTGTTTGAAAGCTCCCTATGTTTGAATTAATACTGTGAATATTGGCTTCTTATGGTTAAGGGAAATGAAAGACCTAATTATTAGAAAAAGATAAAATGCACACCTATGCTTTGAGTTTATTTTTAATTATCTGGATCATATGCTCCAGAATAGGATAAAAACGGCCCAAAGAATAATGGTACAATGGGCAAGAGATTATCCACCTATGGAAAAAGTCTTTATTAAAGAAAATTTACTACTTTTCCCTTTTTGTAATTTGTATGCTTTTAACTACTACAGGCGAAGGGTGTGTATGAAAAAGTTGGAGAAGCTACAGAGACTGCTCTCACTTGCCTGGTAGAGAAGATGAATGTATTTGATACTGAATTGAAGGGTCTTTCTAAAATAGAACGAGCAAATGCCTGCAACTCGGTCAGTATTTGAGCTTAGTGTTTTATTCATGCTGCCCATCACTCAGACCATATATTCTTAGTCTGCTCACTCTCTTACTCTCTTAGATAACTTAGTGTATACCTTATTTCCTCAACCTTGCAATATCTCCTTCCCCATACTCACTATAAGGTAAAATGGTCTGGCCATTTGACCACGAAAATAAAAGTAATCAATGGATAATTTCCACATGCAGCCTCTGTGCCCATAAGGTCTGCCGTCTCCCCTGGTGCTGTGAAATGGACTCTTCTTGCTCCCAGCAAAACCCAGCTGCTCCTTGTGTAGTGAGCCCCAACATCTTTCCTGCTTATCAATCTCCCATCTCTACTGGATCTTCATTAGAGAAATAATAGTATGTTTTTTTATCTAAAAACTTTCTTTTGCCTTAAGCACCCTGCTTCTTTTCCTTCACAGTGAAATTTCTCAAAAGAGCTATTTTTATGTATTGTTTCATTCTTCCCATTTTCTTGAAGCCACTCCAGTCAAGCTTTTGCCTCCTCCTAGTCTATCAAAACCTCTTGTCCAAGTTGCCCATGACCTTGTGCTAAATGGTCCAATTGTTTATGCATTGTTTATATGTTATACTAACACATTTAAAGTACACGAAGCAAGGACTTCCCTGGTGGCGCAGTGGTTAAGAATCCTCCTGCCAGTGCAGGGGACATGGGTTTGAGCCCTGGCCCAGGAATATCCCACATGCTGTGGAGCAACTAAGCCCATGCACCACAACTACTGAAGCCCGTGTGCCTGAAGCCCGCGTGCCTAAAGCCCTTGCTCCGCAACTAGAGAAGCCACCACAGTGAGAAACCCATGCACCACAATGAAGAGCTCGCCACAACTAGAGAAAGCCCACGCACAGCAACAAAGTCCCAACACAGTCAAAGATAAATAAAAATTTTAAAAAGTACACGAAGCGGGCTTCCCTTGTGGCGCAGTGGTTGGGAGTCTGCCTGCCGATGCAGGGGACACGGGTTTGTGCCCCAGTTCAGGAAGATCCTATGTGCCGCGGAGCAGCTGGGCCCGTGGACTGTGGCCGCTGAGCCTGTGCGTCCAGAGCCTGTGCTCCGCAACGGGAGAGGCCGCAGCAGTGAGAGGCCCGCAAAAAAAAAAAAAAAAGTACACGAAGCAAAAGTTGACAGAAATAAAAGGGAAAGTAGATGAATTCACAGTGAGTTGGAGATTTTAACACATCTGTCTCAAAAATTGACAGAACAAGCAGTTGAAAAATCAGGATATGGAAAGACACTGTAAATATACTCCAACACTTATTTCTATTGTGCTCCTTTTTTTTAAAATTTATTTTTATTTATTTATCTATTTTTGGCTGTGTTGGGTCTTCGTTGCTGCATGTGGGGGCTGTTCTTTGTTGTGGTGCGCGGGCTTCTCATTGAGGTGGCTTCACTTGTTGCAGAGCATGGGCTCTAGGCATGCGGGCTCAGTAGTTGTGGCGCATGGGCTTAGTTGCTCCACAGCATGTGGGATCTTCCCAGACCAGGGCTCGAACCCGTGTCCCCTGCTTTAGCAGGTGGATTCTTAACTACTGTGCCCCCAGGGAAGGTCCCTATCGTGCTACTTCTAATATGCTTTTCAAATGCATAAGGAACATTCACCAGAATAGACCATATTACTGGTCCATGAAGCAAGACTCAACAAATTACAAAGGATTGAAATACAGCTGGTTGCTGACCGTGAAAGAATTAAACTAGAAATTGATAACAAAAAGATAAATAAGCTTCCATCTGAAGAAAGTAGAAAACCAGCAAATTAAATACAAGTAGAAGGGAAATAGCAAAGACAAGATCAGAAAGCCATTCTGAACAATTTTGACGGTGTAGAAGAAATCAACAAGTCCTTTCAGTAACACAGCTTTCTAAGCTGACACAGAAAAATGGAATAATCCTGTGTCTGTTACATTAATTGAATCTGTAATTAAAATCTACCCCACAAAAATTCCTCAGGCCCAATTCTGTATAATGCTAAAGAAATGCCAGTTTGGGGGAGTTCCCTGGCAGTCCAGTGGTTAGGACTTGGTGCTTTCACTGCAAGCTGTTCAGCATGGCCACAAAAAAACAAAAAAGGGCAGAAAATGAAACCCTTATCAACTCATTTGATGAGGCCAGCATAACCCTGATACCAAAACCTGGCATGGATGCAACAAGAAAAGGAAGTTACAAGCTAGTATTCTTCATAATATATCAATAGAAGTAGAGATTCTCAGCACAACATTAGCAGATTGAGTCTAGTAATATATCAAAACTTTGACATGTTATATTTGAGCAGAATTACCACAACTACAAGGCTAGCTTGACATTCAAAGCTCAGTGAGGTGGCCGTGTTGCAGGGTGCAGGCGTGTCTGCCCTAGACACTAGACAAATCTGTGGCTCCTCAGCTGCCTTCCCCCTGCCTGTCGGAGCCCCAGAGCCTGGGTTTCTTGGGCTGAACAAAGTGGCAGGCAGGATGGACCAGTCTGTTGAGGACACCCAGGTGCTGGAGGCTGACCAGATGGCCAATGTCTGTCAGCCTCTGTTGCAGGTGGTTTTACTCAGGTCCAGCTGTACCAAGTGTTCGAGGACACAGAATCCACTGACAGTTTACTGCAGGACAGATCCAGCCTTTGTCCTAGACAGAGTGGTGAATGGTTGCTTAGATGAGAAGCAGCGTAAGCAGTGTGCAAACAAGATGTTATAACACACGAAGGTCAGAGTAATAGGCAGCGATACGTACAAGTGGAACGAGAGGAAGAGAAGAAGCATAGTGCCAAGAAGCGAGCTAAGGAAGCTCAGAAATGGGAACTGCAGAAGCCGGAGAAGACGGGTTGAAGGGACTGTGATGCCGAGCAGGAGCAGAAGGTACCTAAGAAGGAAGCAGGTCAGGCCCCAGAGTCTCCATCTGGGCCCACCCCCACAAGCCACCACCCTGGAAACACACCTGCCCCTCTGCACCAGGGACAACATCATCTTCGTGCAGTGCAGGGTGGTGTAGCCAGGAGATCATACGGTGGGTCCTCCAGACCTATTCCCAGTACCTGCTGCCTCCCAGCCTTGGCACTTAGATTTCTTTGGAATTGGGTTCTGCCACACATAATCTCTTAGTACCTGTCATCTCCAAATGGCTGCCAGTTAGTGCTTGTAGCACTTCTTTGATTTGTAGTCAGGGTTTCCTGGTAAATAGAATAAGGAGAAATGGAAAGTTAAAAATACAGCCTTTCCTAGTTATACAAAAGCAAGACTCATTTCTACTAAGTGGTCAGCTGTCACTACGTTTCCTTTCTTTCATCCTTCCCTGGATATCCAGGGCAGATTAGGAGGCAGTGTGTTTTGGGGGAGTAGGGTGGCACCACACGGCACAGGCAGCCTAAGGTGGGCGACAGTGTGAGGCAGAACTGGACTTCTGCTCTGGCACTCTGTTTCCTTTACATTGTTTTGCCTCCTTTACACTATCGCGAGAAATCACAACTTGCACCGGCATGGAGGATGTCTCAGCTGAAGTATAGTCGCCCTATTTGTGCTTCACAACTAACAGTCTCACTGCCATGAGGATCTTGGGCAGCTCCTATGGCATCCTGCCCCGATTTACATGGTTTTCATGAAACATACATCCAGGCCCTTTGTTTCTGTTATAGGGAATTCACCCCAATTGTCATTAAGTAGGGGGCCAATCCTTGCAAAGCCACATTGTCTGATAGCTCTATTATTAGTTGGTGTGACTAAACCCTTGAGAAGCAACCCGAAGATGCAGCTTCACAGAGACTGAGGTTTAGAATTATATGATTCTAGACCTGTAACTGCTCAACGAAGGGAAACAAGTAGCAGCATGGAACTTAAAAAAGTGGTACGTTAATTGTAATGACCACTGCAAATAAGGGCAGGAGTGTCCGTTCTGTAAGAGTCTGCGGTCTAAGTATTTTCTTGCTCTGTGGGTCCTTTGCCTCATTTTTTGCCACAGCAGCTGAGTGAAGGGATCAGAAATGACTGTCATGGTGCTCACTCACTGAAAATTCCCAGAAATGAACTTTTGCCTGCTCCTCCCGCCCCCGAAAGCAAGAACCTTTCATAGTACAGAGGTGAATAGAGCAGGACCAGCTTTTTAAGGCCTAGTGGCCCATTTGGATAGGACTGTTGATCTTCACAGCCCTGATACTGGAAGCAATGGCTTTGTTCTTCTCTCCCCTTAGGATGTGTCTGGCGCCGAGGTCCACACCTCACTCAGAATCACTACCCATTCTTTCAGTCTTCCTAGAGTCATTGGTACAAATGCTTAATGGAAACTAAATACATAAGTAATATATCAGTCAAATAATACAGAATTCATAGTGATTGCCTTTTTGTTGCTTGGGGCAACTCTTGCTGAGAGGATGGCTTCAGCCCACTTGTAATTGCCTACATTGGATGCTGAGGTTCTTTGGGATTTCTAGTTATTATTAAATACTTGTCTGAATTAGGGAGAAATCAATGTAATTCACCACATAATTGAGTAAAGGCAAAAAACCGTAAGATCATTTAAATAGATGCAGAAAAGGCATCTGATGAAATTTAATCTCGGTTCATGATAAAAACTCAACAAACTTATCTTCAAGTTGATGGTGTATTTACACAAAATTAACATATCTAATGGCAAAAGAAGAATTTCTACTTTCAACATTTCTATTCAGTGTTGTACTGGCAGTCCTAGTTCATACAGTAAGGCAAGAAAAATCAAAGATATAAAAATTGGGAAGGATAAAGTATGTTTATTTTGTAGGTAACATGATTGTATACATAGACAGTCCAAATCTGAATCTGAAGGTTAATTCTCAGTCTTCGTTTTACCTGAGCTGTCAGTTTATCCTGTCAGTCTCTCCCTCCTTGAAAGTCCTTCACTTCACTCGTTCTCCTCCCTCCCCCACCCCCTGTCCCCTGCCATCTCCTTGGCTGCATCTTCCACATCCCACCAGAGGTGAAGAGGTTCCAAGGCCCAGTCCTCGGCCTTTTCTGTTTGCAGTTACTCCCTTGAACTCCTCTCACCTCATGACTTCAAATACTGTCCATGTGCTGACATCTAATATAGTACCCACTAGCTATCTAAAGCTATTTAGAATATTTAAGCGGTGTTCCTTGCCCCTGCTTCAGCTAATACTTAACTACCAGAGCTCGAAACCCTCCATTGTCTTCCTGTTTCACCTGTTACAAAAGCCAGATGCCTTACATTGACTTAAGATCCTACAACCTGCTTCTGCCACTCCTGCCATTAACCTCTCACTTCTTTTTTGCAAACTCTGTTCCAGCCATGTTGGCCTGGAGGCTCCTTGAACGTGCCAGGTCACGTCAGCCTGCACGTCTGTTCTCTCTGCCACACTCACATCTTTCACATTTTTACTCAAATACTGTCTTCTCAATACTTTATGTAAAAGCACAGTCATACATAAATTTCTCTCTTCCCTGCTTATTTTTAAATATTCTTCTCCGTAGCACTTATAATCTACTTTCACATTCTAGTGTGTCTTTCCCAAACTAGAGGGTAAGTTTTATGAGGGTGAGAACTTGGTTTGTCTGTTGCTGTATCCCCATTGCCTTTCACATAATAGGTACTTAGTGAGTGTTTGTTTAACAAATCAAAAATGTGCAGAAATCGCCATCCAATAATATTCCATATATGTTCTCTTTATAGGTCATTAAACAGTTGATGAAAAAAGAATTTACTCTAGAGTTTTCACGCGATAGAAAATCGATGTCGGTTTACTGTACACCAAACAAACCAAGCCGGACATCGATGAGCAAAATGTTTGTGAAGGCAAGTACAACAGATTGCAGTTGAGATGTTCTTACTAGGATTGGAATCCTGGGTGAGCTAATAAATAAAATTGTTGATATAAATCTGTAACATTTCCAGGGTGCCCCCGAAGGTGTCATTGACAGGTGTACCCACATTCGAGTTGGAAGTACTAAAGTCCCCATGACTCCTGGAGTCAAACAGAAGATCATGTCTGTCATTCGGGAATGGGGCAGCGGCAGCGACACACTGCGATGCCTGGCTCTGGCCACTCACGACAACCCACTGAGGAGAGAAGAAATGAACCTGGAGGACTCTGCCAACTTTATTAAATATGAGGTTAGCTAATGAAAAGCTTCCTTGCCCACATCCTGCACATTCATTGTGTTCAGACAGCACTCCTTCAATAGAAGGTCAAACGAGTCTTGCTTTTGCCGAGAAAAGGGTGCGGTTGTTTTTCTTCAGGCCAAATGTATTTATTACCTTTATAATTTAGATTGCTGCTTCAAACATACACAGTTAACAACTTAATACAGGCCTTTTACTTTCAAAGTAGAATCATCAAGGCTAAAAACCTATTTTGCAGCTCTCATGTAAATTTAAGATATTTTAAAAATTGAGGCTATTTTTAAAAGTTAGTTACTAAAGGTCAAATTGTCCAAGTGGAGAGATTCCGTCTACTTTTCTGCTTACAGAATACTTTCATATCAAGTATGTGACTTCCTGAAGCCTTGAACAGGGAACAAATTTGGGTAGTATGGGCAACTAATTGGCCACTATCAAAATGTTTTTATTCCTCGGTATATTTTTTCCCTCATTTCAGAATATTATTATGAAAGCTAAAGAATTTGGTAACAAGAATGTAGTGATTTTTTTTAATTGTTTCTGACTTATTGGAATTAATACTGTTCTTCATTGGATTTATATCAATGGTGAATTCTGTCATAAGAAAATGCAGAAACCTTTGCTGTCCACACTGGGGGGAAAACCAGAATTTCCTGTTTTGACATAAGGTGATTCTTTAACTCTAGACCAATCTGACTTTTGTTGGCTGTGTGGGCATGCTGGACCCTCCAAGAATTGAAGTGGCCTCCTCTGTGAAGCTGTGTCGGCAGGCAGGCATCCGGGTCATCATGATCACCGGTGACAACAAGGGCACCGCTGTGGCCATCTGCCGGCGCATTGGCATCTTCAGGCAGGACGAGGATGTGACGTCAAAGGCCTTCACGGGTCGGGAGTTTGATGAGCTCAGTCCTTCAGCCCAAAGAGAAGCCTGCTTGAATGCCCGCTGTTTTGCTCGAGTTGAACCTTCCCACAAGTCTAAAATTGTAGAGTTTCTTCAGTCTTTTGATGAGATTACAGCCATGGTGAGTGTCTTTATACATGTACAGGTAACAGACTGCACAGACTCAGCAGATTCTAATTCTGACCATTAAATTTTTAGTAATAGCTCCCATATTTGGAAATTCTTTATTTTTGTCATGATCTGGGGCTGTTTATCAAGGATTCTGTTGACCAGTAGTTGGCATGCTGTATGTTGCATGCATGGAAGATTCTGGAGAAGTTTAAGACCTGGAAGTCTGAATCAGTCACAGGGGAAATATTTGGTGATATCTTTTTTAATCTTTGTTGTGGTTAAAATATACATGTTTGTATCTCACGTTTCTAAAAGCTGATTCAGGACATAATCCACACTCTGTCACCCAGTTTTGGATAGCCTTACCTGAGATGAGATGTACTGGTGATGTGTTCTCTTAAGAGCTACCTGTTGATGAAGCATTTCCCATATTCTTCCTCGCATCTGATTTTTTCACTGAGACATGTTAACATTGTGTCATATTTGTTTTCTGCTGCTTATCTGTGAAACTTCACACTCTTAAAAACAACTTAATTTTGTTGATTGAAACCAGTTATTATAGTTGTCTTCCTCCCTTCCTCTTTCCTCCCCCCTCCCTTCTCTCTCCCAGAGGAAAGCACCATTCTGAATTCAGTACTGGGTGTTTACTATAGAAAACATACATGGGAATGATAGTTTTGTATCTGTAGACAATATTTAAGTGTTTTTGCCCTTTTTTGGTCTTTATATATATTATAGTTTACATATTTTTGAAGTCTGTCTTTATTCTACTTGAGATTTACCCATGTGGATACAAGTATTTTGTCTTGACTGCCATATTGTGTTTTGTTTGGTAAAAAAATAATACAGATAATTTGAAGTCCCCTTTGTCCCACTTCCCTCTGAAGTGTCACCTATTATAGCTCGTTTGGCAATTTTACATTTCCCAGGTGAAATGTGTTTTATGACACCAACTTACAAAAACGAAAACTTTTCCAGAGAATTCTGTTGTCCAGAGGCCCAACAGCTCCATTCATTCCCTGGCTTTAGGATGGCTGAGCATTTGTTGGCAGCGTGTTAGGTGGCAGGTGTAAACCAGTGGTGGGTTTCTAACCCTTTCAGACTGGAGACGGTGTGAATGATGCTCCTGCTCTGAAGAAATCTGAAATCGGCATTGCCATGGGCTCTGGCACCGCGGTGGCTAAAACCGCCTCTGAGATGGTCCTGGCTGATGACAACTTCTCCACCATCGTGGCTGCCGTGGAGGAGGGACGGGCGATATACAACAACATGAAGCAGTTTATCCGCTACCTCATCTCGTCCAATGTCGGGGAAGTTGTTTGGTGGGTCCCTATGACCAGGTCACATACATTCCTTGGCTTGTGATGACCAGTTTTCCAGATTTGCTCTTCATGTGGCAGTAGCTTTGCTCTTAGTGCAGCGGGAGAGAGGGAGGGCCGGGCAAGACGAAGGAGGCCCTTGTGAAAGTAGAGGTACTTCCTCTGGCCCTCAGGAGGGCTGTCTACGGCTGCTCCAGTGTGCAAAGGATACACTTTAACATAGAAATGAATTTAAATTAACTATATAAGGTAACATAAAATTCTTGGTCTTGTAAAAGTTAACTTAATTTGAAATTGGATATAATAAATGTTTTATGATTGCCCAGGGAAAAAGTTAAAACAATCATTGCTGTCCACTGATTTTTATGGAGGAAGATGGGGTGGTGATGTTATTTTAAATAGTGGCCAAAAATAATTTGGGGTCTTTTTCTTCTCTTCTTGGATGGAAACAGTATTTTCCTAACAGCAGCCCTTGGATTTCCTGAGGCTTTAATTCCTGTCCAGCTGCTCTGGGTCAATCTGGTGACAGATGGCCTGCCTGCCACTGCACTGGGGTTCAATCCTCCTGATCTGGACATTATGAACAGACCACCCCGGAACCCAAAGGAACCACTGATCAGTGGGTGGCTCTTTTTCCGTTACCTGGCTATTGGCTGTGAGTACAGTTTTTTATATTATTGACTTTTAAACGAATGTTTGAGTCCAAATTTTGTAAATGCATCCCTTAAAAGCACATTTTTTTCTGTTTCCATATTAGGGGAGCAAAATATGGAGACTGTCCTTTTGCAGTTTAATGAGCTGTGTATACCCAGTTTACAGTAAAGTTATTCCTTTACTTTAGCATCCTCGTTCTTCCTTGGGCCTTTGTGAATGAGGTTCTCAGATTTAATCTATGGGCAAAGGAAATACAGAGAGGACTGAGGCCTTAAATCACCAAGATGTAAAACAAAGTCCCCCTCTCCCTGAGTGAGAGAAGGGATCTGTGCATTCATCAGCAATGGTTGGCTCTTCCACATGTGTGGCCTTTGTAGACCTCGTCCTGACCCAGGATGCTGCTTCTCTTTTCCTCATTTCATAGGTTAGGAAAGTGAGGCCCAGAGAGGTTAAATGACTTCCTTAGGGTCCCATAGGAAACAGTTTTGTTTTAATATGTTCACATGATTTAACACTCAAAAAACACACAGTGGCATAAAGCAGGAAGGCTCTCAACCAGTTGGTTCCCCTCCAGCACGCCTTCTTGGGATACTCTAGCAAATAGATCCATCTTAGGTGTTTATTTTCGCAAGCAAGATGGCATGCTGTATACACCTGTATGCTGAACCCTGTCTTTTTGTATTTCTCCCTGTTTTTTGGGTAGTTTTACATCAGTACCAGTATAGCTGCCTTATTGCTGTGCACCTGTTGGAATTGCTGGGTTAGAGGGTGTGCACTTGGACCTTTCAGTGGGTACTGCTGCATTGGGACAGTCTCTTATTCTCAAGTGCCTGTGTTCTCCACTACCCTTGGTTGTTTCTTTATAATAAGCTTGCTGAATTCAAAAGTAATTGTTGGGGTGGGGGAGGGGATGGTCCCAGAATTGGCTTCAAGCACTGCCATGTGCTCAGCGTTCTGCACTAACTGCTCTAATGGCCTTTCCATATAAAGGTTCTGCCAGGCCCTTGGTGGAGCAAATAAATTAGTGTATAACTGGTAGCATGAGTTTGCCAAAGTCATGACGGGTGTGATCTGGTGCTCTAGCACAGCATGGCCTTCCTTACATGGAGAACACGTGCCTGCAGCCTTAACATACTGGCCGCTGGTTAGAGAGGGCATGGCTAGTGTAAAGGTCCTACCGATTCTAGTAGGTGCATTTCCTCACAAATTCTGGAGGAAAAGTTGCCTGGTTCTTCTGTACCACAGACACCCTTCTCGTTACGGAAACCATCAGCCTAGCTGCTTTATCTGATGCAAGTGAGCAGGTGCCAGTGGTAGCACAGGCTCATTGACATACCATGTCTTTGATCTCTGTCCTAGGGGTTGGCCCTCGAGGCAGCACCTGCAGTAACGCTGCAGGCCGTAAACCCCATGTGTGTTAGTGTCATGATGTTTGTTCCCAGGTTATGTTGGCGCTGCTACCGTGGGTGCTGCTGCGTGGTGGTTCATTGCTGCCGAGGGTGGTCCGAGAGTGTCCTTCTACCAGCTGGTACGTAGCCACCTTTCTTTGTGTACCTTAGATGCAAGGTGGTGTAAGTCTTCACAAACAGTTGTCCTTGAGCTTTCTATGGTTTGGATGTCAGTCAAATAATCTTAATACTCTTAACAATAAGCAGTGGCATCTAAGGTTATTCTGAAGGACCAGGGCTTCTCTGGGAAATGCGGTGAGATTTTGTGTGGGTCTGTGTTCTGGGTTTGGTGTGGAATTGGTGTGTGGACTTTGGAAATGTCCTTGGCTGATCAGGAACTTGATTGGGCTTTTGTTGCAGAGCCATTTCCTACAGTGTAAAGAGGACAACCCGGACTTTGAAGGAGTAGATTGTACCGTCTTTGAATCCCCATACCCAATGACAATGGCGCTCTCTGTTCTAGTAACCATAGAGATGTGCAACGCCCTCAACAGGTCAGTGAGTCTTCTCAGCATGCTGGGGCAAGAGCCTGACAGCCAGGGCGATGGGGGATTGTGTGTGTTTCATGGTTGATTGAGAATCACAGGAAAGCTCCGCCCTCCCCAAAAGGAAGAACAAGCAGCACCAGTTTTAAGAGCTTAAGTCATCATCACCTCCAGGAAGTAGTGGGAGTGCTTAGCCACATGTTCTTCAAGAAACAGCAGAGGCCAAAAATAGGGACTTCTGCACCCCTGTGTGCCAGTGCCCACAGGGAAGGAGCTCTTGCCCTTTAGCATTGAGACAAACAGTATCACCTAATTAAGCCAGTGACAAAAATGGAAATTTCAAAATAGCCTAAGTGTCAAGGGCAATTGAGAGCAGGTTTGAACACACTAAAATGGGATTGCTGTGCTGAAGCCTAGATTTAAATTGGAAGTCTGTCCTACATCTGAACATTCTTCCTTAACTTTGCCACTGTAGAAACTTAATAGAATTAGGTCAGTAGGTAATAGGCAGTGCCAAGTTAGCCATCACCTTATTGATGTGTGGTTCTGAACAGTCTCTGTCGGTGATGGCATATGCCTTTGCCCTTTCAGCAGGCACATTTCACCCACCTACCTCTCCTTGTTCTGCAGCTTGTCTGAAAACCAGTCCCTGCTGAGGATGCCCCCTTGGGAGAACATTTGGCTCGTGGGCTCCATCTGCCTGTCCATGTCACTCCATTTCTTAATCCTCTACGTGGAACCCTTGCCAGTAAGCGGTGGGGGGATCCTGGGCTGGGGCCTGGCTGCCTGTCCAGCAAGTCAGGGAGCTTGATGAGGTTTCTTTGTGTTTCAGCTTATCTTCCAGATCACACCACTGAATTTGACCCAGTGGCTGATGGTGCTGAAAATCTCCTTGCCTGTGATTCTAATGGATGAGACCCTCAAGTTTGTGGCCCGCAACTACCTAGAACCTGGTAAAGAGTGTGTGCAGCCTGCCACCAAATCCTGCTCGTTCTCAGCATGCACCGATGGGATCTCCTGGCCCTTTGTGCTGCTCATAATGCCCCTGGTGATCTGGGTCTATAGCACAGACACTAACTTTAGTGATATGTTCTGGTCTTGACTGACAGTTTTGCATAAAGGTGATGTTTAACTTAATCAATTAATTTTTTTATTGTTTAAAGCAACTGTCTATTTCTGCTGAATTTTCACATGAACATACTGGCTGGTGAAGGAGGTTTCATACTCTAGATTTTGTTTTGCTTTTTCTGACTCCAGTGGGGCAAGATTTTCCTTTTTTATACACATAATTAAAGTGTCCATTGACATGTACAGAGAACTAACACTATTTTATGCAAATATTTTTTTGTAGATGAAAAAGCATGTACAGTGTTCTGTTTAATACTCATCCTTGTATAAAAAAATAGTTGAGCCAGCAGACATTGTCAGCAAATTAATTGGCAGCAGATTTTAGGAAATGAATGTGTGTGGTTTTTTTCTAAAACTAAATAGCATGTATTGTGTCTTTTGCATGATCATCTGGATTTAATCTGAGATCACAGTCTAATTTTTATTCATAAGCCAATTTTTCTGCACTGAGCAGAGTACTGCTACCTCAGTCAGTATTTTTTTTTGGTTTGCCCCACCCCCACCCCTTCACCCCTTGGCCCTTGTTCACCTCCACCCCACCTCCACCCCCACCCCGCTCGGCTGCTTCTCCTGTAGGGTTTTGATGGTTCTGTTTACATCAGTCTTAACAAGAGGTATGCTTGTTCTCGCTTGTGCAGAAAACATTGTTCCAGATTCAATCGACCAGGTTCATGTCCCCTCACATAGTTTTTAAGGTTATTTATTTAAATGTCTAATGTATTTTATTGTAACAGACATTGTTTTGCCAACATTGCCTATTTCAGTGGCACTTCACAATCTAGTTTAAAAAGAAAAATAAAACATTTTAAATGGACAGAGAAAAATAACTGTCTTGTTTTTAACTCTTAAGTGGCTTAGTTTGAACTAACAGATGTCCAACTTTCTCTTAAGTTCTTAGTTTTACTTTTAGTTTTACTGTGCTTGAGGGGAAGAAAGATCCTGTTCTGCTGCATAGGTGGTTGTAGGAATTTTATTTTTAGTGTATAGGCACTAATTGTTATCTGTGATACATTTTTATGCAAGTTTCTGCTGGCCTGTTTTAGCCTGGTGTAGAGGACATAAGGGCAAGTGTGTATGTGTGTGTATGTGTGTGTATGTGTTTTGTAAAATCTGTAAATAGCACATGACCAAATGAACATACTGTATAGAACTATTTTTATTTGAATGTGGCACTAACCACCACCATCGTTACTATGATAAATGTTTGCGCATGTTCGAGATCAGTCTTAACCAACAGTGTGTAAGTCATTAACAGTCCTAACTGTGGTGTTTTCCTCCAATGCCTTCCAACATCCATCAACTAACGTGAGTATTCCCTGAAATTTGGATGCTTTAGCCTAAAGGTTACTGCCACTAAATGAGCTGGCTATATGACACTAATGAGTAAGCCCCTTACGTCAGGCACCCTGAGAGCAGCGGGCATACGACTTTACGTGGCGCCTGTGGGCTGGGGTAGCTGTTCTCGACGCCACCCACTGCCTAGGATAACAGCACAGCCACATGTCAGTTGGGGAGGGCCTGGGGGAAGAGAAGGTAGTTCTGCTTTGGTCAGACTGACAGGTGCCTTCACAAATGCCAAGATGAGGATTCACAAAAAACTTGTCATGGTTCCTTTGATCTTTGTTAGCTGCAAGGACTTGTCCCAGAATCTTGCTACCTGGTTCAATAAAAAGCAAAAAGTGAGTGAAGCAAGTAACCAATAAACTCATGCATCATTTGTTGCATGACTTTTTTCTTTTTACGGCTGCGCTGCGCGGCTTGTGGGATCTTAGTTCCCTGACCAGGGACTGAACTCGGGCCCCGGCAGTGAGAGCACTGAGTCCTAGCCACTGGGCTGCCAAGGAATTCCCTGGTTCATTTTAAATAGGCCACCTTTTTCCACCTTCTGGGTCATACTCTTTGCGGCTGAGATTTAACTGTGCTTTAATGTACCCTGGAGAGAAAAGATACTGGCCATAGTTTCTGCTCAGCTAGCAAACAACCAGCCCCATCATTAGCCAGGGTGAAGCAGGGCCTAGGCAGCAGCTCGTATTCAGGGTGGTAGCTCCCTGCACGTGAAGCCCCGAGAGTTCTTGTGGGTACTTGAAGGTACTTGGGCCCTAGCTGGATACAGGGCCAGCCAGAAGACATGATGTAAATGCTGAGCGTCTGGGGAAAGGTTAACAGGTATCAAGCAGGACAAGGTGCTGCGAAGTTAAGAGGTCTCCATGTAAGGGGGTAGAAAGGGCACATGGAGGCGGATTCTTAATTTAGAGTCCTGGCCTGGCTCATGGAGGCCTCTCAGAGGAGGAGGAGCTGGTTTGGTTGGCAGAGAATGTAGGGGATACATTTTGCCAATTTTAGTGTTATGGGGTGTGTAGAAACAGGTTGAGCAGATCAAATGCAAGGAGTGTGTCTCGGCTGCAAACCAAACCAGGGTGTCTGAGCTTGTTGGGTGGGGTGCCATTCAGTGGTCAACTTTTCCTGACTCCATTCCTTGATTATTATTGGCCCTTGCAAAGTAAGTTGAATGGTATGGAAGGCTATTACCTTGTGCTTTCTCAGCTTCAGGCCTGTCCAGCCCACAGAGGTGGTTTAGGCACCCATTTCCCTCAACTCAGACAGCTGGGAGTGGGAAAGACCCAGCGGTGCAGAGTCCTTTTGTCTGCTCTGTTTCAGGCTTCGCCGCCAAAAAACGTCTGCTTGGCACCTCCTCAGTAGTTAGTGCTGCTGTGGGCACATCCCTGGCCTCTGTCCTATAGGGAGCAGCAGGTACCCAGCCCCATCCTCACCAAGTACCCACAGGAAGGCACCGTTGGCCTCTCTGCTTCTGCTGCTATCAGTAGCTGGATAGGACGGCAGCATCCTCAGACCCATCATGTTACATGCTCTCAGGCAGCTCTTGCCTGAAACTTGCTCCAGGTTCTTTCTCAACGGGCAAGTGGGCTGAAGGCCCATCCCATCAGTGTTCTGTTTTTTTGCCACCCCATGCCCAGACTGACCTCTTTAGTAGAGCTTTACCCTTTGCCCAGGAGATGGCAGTCTTACACGTTTCCTAAGTGGGGTACTGTGCCAGCAGCTCATTCTGCATCTGTACAGTGCAGGTGACACGTTGGGTAGGGAGAGCTGCAGGAGCTCAGAGACAAGCAGGGCAACTGCCACCTTCCCTCACAAGCAGCACCTGCCACATTACCTTCAAACTGGGGCCTCAGGCCCCTGAATGTCTGTGTGGTGGGCAGACCTCAGGAATATCCAAGACCACAAGCGTTATTAGCTCAGTGTCTGCCAAGCCTGTTGTGTCTGCAGGGCGGAGGCACCAAATTGTGTCAAAACCACCACCCTGCATGTGAGGGTAATCTGCAGCCTTTTTTCTTGAAAGGGAACAGTGATAAGCAGTTCCCCTTCTAGGACTGGATGCAGCCCAGAGGCTGGCCCCCGGGAAAGGAAGGAGAGAGGCTTGGCGCTGATTACCACGCTGCTCACTCTGCTTCACCTTCCTTACCCTCTGCACTGCTAACTGAGGACTTCTTAACTTTTGTTATACCTGAAGCGATTAAGTGTCTGCCTGGTGGGATTCTCTGTAGCCAGGTGACATGAGGGGCCTGTGTTGCTGAGCCAGTGCTTCTGGATGCTACCCTGTGTAGGCAACCCCTCAGGGACAGTTGATCAGAAATGCTAGTCTTAAAATCTTAAAAGAATATTCCTTTTCATCTGTCACTATTAATCTTAAATTAGTTATTCTAACATTTCCTCCCCATATTTCATAAAGCTGATTTCCTCTCTCTTTCCTTTTCAGCAATACTGGAGTAACCGCTTCCTAAACCATTTTGCAGAAATTTAAGGGTGTTCAGTTGCGTGCATGTGCGTTTTTTAGCAACACATCTACCAGCCCTCTGCATGATTGATGTTGGGGGGAAAAAGAAAATTAGAAAAAACTCCCCAACTCATTGTGTTATGTGGAGGAAACGTGTATTACCAGTGGGGTTTTTAGCTTTTAAATCAAAATAATTACAAATGTACAGTTTAGCTTAATGAATCAGAAAGCCTCTCCAGAGAAATTTGGTTTCTTTGCTGCAAGAAGAATGAGGTTCTGAAACCTTATCCAAGAGCTTAGAAGCCATCAGCCAAGTCGCCATATTTCTCTGTGCAAAATGTCATAGCTTAAATAAATGTACAATATTCAGTTGTAATGCATGCCTTCAGTTGTAAGTAGCCAGATTTCTCTATGGTGTCATTGAAACATGCTACTTTTTAATTGGCCCTGTACAGTTTGCTTATTTATAAATTTATTGAAAACACTACAGGTGTTGAATGGTTAAAAATGTAGGCTTCCAGTTCATAACTTCGGTTATATTGAGTGTGCAGCTATTTTGCACTGTATTAAATGTAACTTATTTAATGAAATCAGAAGCAGTAGACAGATGTTGGTGCAATACGAATATTGTGATGCATTTATATCAATAAAATGCTAAACGTCAATTTATCAACGCATGTTTGACTTAGACTGTAAATAGAAAGCAGTTTGTTTCTGTGCTGGCAACAGGCATTGCACAGACATGGTTTCAGGTAAATAAATCTATTCTACGATAAGTTCACAGTGTGGTGTTGACTGTTCTCCTGCAGGAGGGGTGGGTGATGTGCACTGAGGACCTCCAGCCCTGCACCCTGAGCAGTTGTGCCCTTAGGTAGATAAAAGGGACAGAAAGTTCCTGTTGACATTCTGCATAGGAGAGCAGAGTGGTAGGTGGTCTGGTTGTGTGACATGAGATCTATAAAATATTCCTGCCCTGGTTCCACTGTCTCCCCTCAAGTATGAGAAAAAGAGTGTGTCATGAGTGGAGTTTTCAGAGATAACATGATTTAAAAGTTGTCAGCAGCTTGGAGACTATAGTGATGGAGAGATACTTGTAATACTACTCAGATGCAAAACGTAAATCCCACTGTTAATAGATACAGAAAAGAGCTGAGTAAACCAACAACTATACTCCAATTTAGAAAAAAAAGAGAAAGGAGGTCCCCCCCCCAAAAAGGAACTGAAATCTATATACATGGGGAAAATATTTGATAAATTTTAACATCCATTCTGTAAAGGATAAAAAATACTTTTGAGTACCCATAATTCCCATTTTTTGACATAATGAAAAATAAGCCAAAAGTATTGAATTCCAGAATTAGACTCACCATCCACTATTGCCCACAACTTAGCACTGTTCTGGAGAGTCACTGTAGTCAGACAAGAGAAGGGAAAATGCCTAGGAGTGAACAGAAAGGAGCAATGGTCATACTGGATCAATAAGAACACCTTATTTTTATGAAAGTTTAATTCAGGGGAGATTAACATCTTAGTATGAATGATATACGCCGTACGTTATTAATAATATATGAAGGGGCTTCCCTGGTGGCGCAGTGGTTGGGAGTCCACCTGCCGATGCAGGTGGGACGCAGGTTCGTGCCCCGGTCCGGGAAGATCCCACGTGCCGCGGAGCGGCTGGGCCCGTGAGCCATGGCCACTGAGCCTGCGTGTCCAGAGCCTGTGCTCTGCAACGGGAGAGGCCACAGCAGTGAGAGGCCTGCGTATTGCAAAAAAACAATAATAATATATGAAAATACCAAGTGTTTTAATCAGACTGATTCTAATAAAAATGAAAATGCAAGAGTAGCAAGGAAGGGTACAAACCTCAGGTATAAAACCTATAGTCATTAAATGTATTATCTAAGAAAGGTGGCATTTTAGCTTAGTAGGTAAAAGTTGGGTTATCCATTATGTCACTGGTTATTCTGAAAAAATATATGGCCTCACATATTTTGGGTGTATTGTATTGTATCCCTCACACCCAATCAACTGCAAATGGATCAGAAGGTTTGAAAAATGAAGTTACACCCCAAAAGAAAAATGGCTAAATGATATAAACAAAATTTGTAAATATAAGATGTTCAATCTCACTAGCAAATTAAATTCACAATGAGATACCATTTCATGCCCATCAATTAACAAAAAAAACGGGTCTTCTAATACCAAGGGTGTGGACAATGGGCCATCCTTACATTGTAGAGCAATTGGGTATCATCATCTGGTACATTTACAGATGCTCTTAACATACAACCTGGCAGATCCTTACCTTCTTAGGGAATTCCTCACAAGTGCTGGAAGAGCCATACCAGGATGTTTGCAAAAGAAAAGCACCAACCTAAATGACCAACAACAGGAAAATGGGTAAGTATATTTAAGGCATGTTGAAGTCACTCTGCATCAGTGAAAATGAGTAAGCAAACCAGGCATCAGCAGATAAACCTCCCTGCACGGTGCCAAGTGCGATGTATATCAAGTTTAAAATACACAAAATAAGACCATATCATAGCCTTTTTTTTTTTTCTTGGCTGCACTGCACAGCATGCAGGATCTAGTTCCCCGACCAGGGGTCCAACCTGTGGTGTGCCCCCTGCAGTGGAAGTGCAGAGTCTTAACCACTGGACGGCCAGGAAACTCCATGACCATATCATACTCCTTAACCTGGCCCTAGGGCCAGTGCCTGTCTGTGCTAAGGCATGTGCACTGGCTTCCTTGATGAGAAAGTCCAGCTCACAGAAAGTCAGCTAAACTAAACAGCCATGTGGTGGATTCACAGTGCAAGCTCCTCACCTCTGTGGACTAGGAGCAAACGTAAATAACAAGTTCACAGACAGCAGCCACAGGGATAGTAAGTGAGTAGGTGGATAGTGGTTAGTTCCAAGAGGGAGGGAGAGCAGAGTTTTGCTTCTGTAAGTAATGCTTGGGTGCCATGTATGTAGGGGTTCATTATGCCTTTTGCAAATCTGAGATTTTTTTTTTTTAAATCATAAAAGTACCAGGAGAAAACATGGAAGCTGAGAAGACTTTCTAAGCATGACACAAAATCCCAGGAGAGTGATAAGCTGACTACATAAAAATGTAAAATTTTTGGAATACCATATACCTCTCTGGAGTTAGTAAATTAGATGTGCTACGCATATAACAGCATATTCTGTAAACATACTAGCAAAGATAAAAGTTTAATGATCTCTCCTTTGCAGCTGGCATTAGGAAACAGCTCATGCTGATGGTGAAAATATAAATTGGCCCAATCTCTAGAGGGCAATCTGACAATATCTATGACATTTTTAAATATCCATCCCCTTTGATCAAACACTTAACTTTGGTGAAATCCCCCCACATGTTTACAAAGCCAAACATAATCCTGCTGCACTATTGTTAGCAAAAGATTGGAAATAACCTGTATGCCCATCAATAAACAAGCTAGCTGCTAAATAAGCTAAGAACATTCTTACCATGGAGTATTAATGCAGCCTTCAGAAAACCCAAGGTTAGATCTATGAGCCAGCAAGCAATGACGTCCAATACACATTTACTGCCCAGTGAAATATTCAAGTGCAGGTCCATCCATGTTGTCATAAAGGGCAAAATTTCATCATGGCTGAGTAATATTCCATTGCTATGTTCCACATCTTTATCCATTCATCTACTGATGGGCACTTGGGTTGCTTCCATGTCTTGGCTATTGTAAATAATGCTGCAATGAACATAGGGGTGCATGTATCTTTTTTAAAATACGCAGGAGTGGAATTACTAGATCACGTGGTAGCTCTTTTTTTTTGAAGAACCTCCATACTGTTTAGTGGCCATGCCAATTTACTTTCCCACCAGCAGTGCAGGAGGGCTCCCTTTTCTCCACACCCTCCCCAACACTTGTGATTTGTTGTCATTTTGATAAGTCTTTCTGACAGGTGGGAGGTAATACAGCTAACTGTGGTTCTGGTTTGCATTTCCCCGACTATGATGTTGAGCGTCCTTTTACGTACCTGTTGGCCATCTGTATGTCTTTGGAAAACTGTATTCAGATCGTATGCCCATTTTTTCATCAGGTTTTTTGATGCTGAGTTGTATATTTTGGATATTAATCCCTTGTCATATGTATCATTTGCAAATATCTTCTCCCATTTAGTAGGTGGCCTTTTCATTTTGTTGATAGTTTCCTTTGCTGTGCAAAAGCTTTTTAGTTTGATGTAGTCACATTTGTTTGTTTTTGCTTTGTTTCCCTTGCTTGAGGAGACAGATCCAAAAAAGTATTACTAAGACCAATGTCAAAGAGCATACTGCCTGTTTTCTCCTAGAAGTTTTATGGTTTCAGGTCTTACATTTAAGTTTTTAATCCATTTTGACTTTATTTTTGTGCATGGTGTGAGAGTAGTCCAGTTTGATTCTTTTGCATGTAGCTGTCCAGTTTTCCCAAAACTATTTACTGAAGAGACTGTCTTTTCCCCATTGTGTATTCTTGCCTCCTTTGCATAATTAATTGCACATATAATCGTGGGTTCATTTGGGCTCTCTATTTTTTTCCATTGATCTATATGTCTGGTTTTTTTGTGCTAGTACCATGCTATTTTGATGACTGTAGCTTTGTAGTATAGTTTGAAGTCAGGGAACATACTTCAGCTTTGTTCTTCTTTCTCAAAATTGTTTTGGCTATTTAGGGTCTTTTGTGTTTCCATACAAATTTTAGAGTTATTTGCTCTAGATGTGTGAAAAATGCCACTGGTATTTTGATAGGGATTGCACTGAATCTGCCTGGGATAGTATGGTCATTTTAACAATATTCTTACAATACATTAGTATGATATATCTTTCTTCTGTTTCTGTCTTCAGCTTCTTTCGTGAGTGTCTTATAGTTTTCAGAGTACAGGCCTTTTACCTCCTTAGATTCATTCCTAGGTGTTTTACTTTTTTTTTTTGCTGTACACAGGCCTCTCACTGTTGTGGCCTCTCCCGTTGCGGAGCACAGGCCCAGCGGCCATGGCTCACAGGCCCAGCCGCTCCGCAGCACATGGGATCCTCGCAGACCAGGGCACGAACCTGTGTCCCCTAGCATCGGCAGGCGGACTCTCAACCACTGCGCCACCAGGGAAGCCCTACTCTTTTTGACCTGATTATAAATGGGATTGTTTTCTTAATTTCTTTTTCTGATACTTCATTGTTAGTGTATAGAAATTCAACAGGTTTCTGTATATTAATTTTGTATCCTGCAACATTACCAAATTCATTGATGAGCTCTAATAATTTTTTGGTGGCATCCTGTGGATTTTCTATGTGTAGTATGTCACCTGCAAACAATAAATGTATTATTATTTTTATTTTTGGCTGCGTTGGGTTTTTGTTGCTGTGCGCGGGCTTTCTCTGGTTGCAGCAAGCATATGGCCTGTACTATGTTGAAGTATGTTCCTCTATATGTCCTTTGTTGAGTTTTTATCATAAATGGATGTTGAATCTTGTCCAAAGCTTTTTCTCCATCTATTGATATGATCATCTGGCTTTTATTCTTCAGTTTGTTAATGTGGTATATAACACTCATGTGCAGATATTGAACTACCCTTGCATCCGAGATAAATCCCACTTGATCATGGCATATGATCCTTTTTATGTCTTGTTGAATTTGGTTTGCTAATATTTTCTTGAGGATTTGCATCTGTTTTCAGCAGTGATACTAGCCTCTAATTTTCTTTTTCTGTGATATCTCTGGTTTTGGTATCAGAGTGATTCTGGCATTGTAGAATGAGTTTG